AGGAAGGAAGGAAGGAAGGAAGGAAGGAAGGAAGGAAGGAAGGAAGGCAGGCAGGCAAGAGATAAATCAGTGACTGGCAAGTATAATTGTGGGGACTGTGAGTAAAGTGTAGAGTTCAGATACATGCTGGAGGTGAGGAAAGAAGACATACTGAAGACACCTGTTCATAAGGGATGATAATATCAGAGAGATGTCTCTTGATTCTTCCTTTAATGACTTGGCCTTTTGCGAAAGGGTAGGTACTCTTTCATAGGGTTCTTTGATTTTACAGTCTTTCTGTCCTTAGGGAAAACTGTCTTCCATAAATTCTTCCAGACATCCGTGGATTACATTGATATTTGCTTTCAGAAGAGATACGTGTTTCCTCTGTGTATCTTTCACATATAGCCATAGTGTTCTATGTTACAAGTTTATCAATGTCCTGTATTCCATTTACAATGAAGGATTTTTAAGAGATATGCATGTGTCCTGTGTTCTCTGGACACAAATTTTCCATTTCTGAATATAATACTATATATCAAATAAATGCTATAATGTGAGATTTCCCTCTGTAAATGTGAGATTTAATCTGCTATGATTACCATTGGTTAATAAATAAACTGGCTTGGCCTGATAGGGTAGAAGAACTAAGCAGGGAAAACTAAACTGAATGCTGGGAGAAAGAAGGAAAAGCTAGAGAGAGCCCATGGAGCCATTTCGAAGACAAATGTGCTGAAACTTTGCTGGTAGGCCATGACCTCATGGTGATGAACAGATTAATGGAGATGGGTTAAATTAAGATATAAGAGTTAGCCAATAAGAAGGTAGAACTAATGGTCTAAGCAGTGAATTAAATAATACAGTCTCTGTGTAGTTATTTCAGGGCTGAGCAGCTGGAAATGAACAAGCAGCCACCCTACAACAAATTAGCACCCAATGTGGCCAACTAAATTTACTTAAAACCTGAGAGAGTTTGAAAAGGAATTCTAGACACATAAAAACAAAGTTAAGCATGGATTAACGCAATGGCTCCTTTAAGAAAGGTTTTTCCTGATTCAGTGGTAGCAGAAAAAAAAAAAACTATGTGGTTTTGAAATGCCAGTTTCCTGGGTCGTGCTGCCAGCACAACCTCTGACTCTAACAGGAGGCCAAGCATTTAAATGGGGTTTGTGAACAGAGTGCTACAACTTGCTTAATGGCAACATAGACCTGCTGTGTGCCTAAAAATGGGGCTGTGAGCATGGTTCTCAGAGGCAGCAAACAGCTCCGCCATTTTGGACTGGGCAGAACAAGCAGGCAGGGCCTTGTTTGCCCTAGCAAGGCTGCTGCTTAGGTTTTTAAGAAGCACATCACCCTGGTCAGAAAATGATTTCAGATACACAATAGGATGGATTCAGACATAAAAGACCTTTAAACAAGACACAGTATCTTTAAAAAAATGTGCGTAGGCTTGAGAGAGAGGAGAAAAAGAATAAAGAGACAGCAAATGTAATATAAAAAAGTACAGACAGTCGTAGATTAAGAGTAAAGGTAATAAAAACTAATAGAGAAATAAAAATAAGCCATGTAAAGATGGACTTTACACAGAGAGTCTGGATTATGTATATTATTATGTTTTCTTTGAATCTTTTGACTGTGAAAGAGCCACATAACCAATATATATTCTTTAAAAGTATCTTGTCTTCAAAATTTGCGTATAAGGACATGTTGCTTTGGAAAAGAGGTTCTTCTTTTGTTTCCACAGAGGATGAGAACCTGTAGAATCTTCCCATACTAATGTGGTTTAATGGACCAAGAGCCCCTGAAAGGTCACCTTAAACACCCCTCAAAAATTAGTTTGCCCAATAAAGAGCAGGAAAAAGTTTGGAGAGTAACTACGCCCACATTCCCAAATATTGGTTATGAATGTTTGTTTACATTTTAAAAAAGATATGCTATAGAGATTTGCATTGATATGAATCTGGGTTTATTGATACAAATTTAAGGCCAATTTTGTTATACTGTGTATATATATTTCTGATCTTGATTGAGTTATTGTGTTTTCCAGTTCATTTAAAAATGTAATGTATAATTAAGAAATATAGGTTAATAGATAGTCATCTATAATAGTCAAGCTTGTAGTCATGATAGTTAGGTTTTCTAGATGTACAGAGATATATTTATGATGGATAGGAATTCTTTAAATCTTTCAAAGACCTTCAGAATATGGCATTTAAGATGTTTAAGTACTCAGGACTTTTCGTGACAACGAGACACATCTGTTCCTGGTAACACCAATTACTTCAAGAGGACTATGGGCATCAAAGAGACTCCTTATGGAGTTTGCTAGCCATTTGGGCAAAACATTGCTCTTGCCTGGATTGCTTGATGTTATGCTGTACAAATTAGACATTCAGAACCCACAGAGAGATGACTGCTAAACTTGCCTAAAAGTGAGATGATCCTTCAGAGTTTCTGCTTCATGAAAGAGACTGCCAGACATTCTGCAGGACACAAAAGAAAGTGACAGACAGACTGCCAATATAGGCAAAACTGTCTTTGAAATTTCCTGGTTCATGGAAAAGTCTGTTGGATACTATGGGTCTGTAGGCTGAAGATGGATGAAATTTGGGTGACCGTCCAGGCAGTGAAATGTCTCTGTCAATTCTAGAGTTTTGGAAGTTGCTTAAAATGCACTTACTGTTTACTTAGGCAATATTATATTTTTCTGGAGTCTTTGATAGAATTGTAAAATATATAGCTATAGTTATGATTTTCTATAAATATGATAAAAGATAAAGTAAATATAAATTGTATTTGTAATTCTTGCTTGATAACTGTTTTGTTATATGTAATTTTACTATGTTAAAGCTAAAGCCTTCCTTTTTATTTAAACAGAAAAGAGGTGATGTGGGATTTCCCTCTGTATGCTGTGATTACCATTAATGAATAAAGAAACTGCTTTGGATGATAGCAGGACAGAACTTAGCTAGGTGGGGAAAACTAAACTGAATGCTGGGAGAAAGGAAGCAGAGTGAGGGAAAATCCATGGAGTCAGTGCCAGAGACAGATGCATTTGCTGGTAGGCCATGACCTCATGGTGATATACAGATTAATGGAGATGGGTTAAATTAAGATGTGAGAGTTAGCCAATAAGAAGCTAGAGCTAATGGATCAAGGAGTGATTTAAATAATACAGTTTCTATCTGATTATTTTGGGGGTGAGCAGCTGGAAACAAACAAGTGACCACCCTACAACAATGTTGAATGAATTTATTTGCATACACTTTTGATTGTGCCATACATTGGCACTCACAGCTACTCTGGTGCTTGCTCAGATATTATTTTGGCATAGACTCCACTGGAGGACTTGCAGATAATACTTATTTTATTCATCACTGCTGTAAAAGATTTTTTAGGACTCCTCCAGTCTTCATATCTCTCCCAAGATTATGCTTTCTTGGTCATCGTGAATCGTCTTTACCTTCTTCATAAGTAGTTTTGAAAAAGTTACCTGTGCTGGGTTATACTGCAACATTTGTCTCCTTTCATATGCTCGGAAATCTACCACACTGTTCATTTACTCAATAATATAACTCCTACTCACACATTTAAAACTTGGGGAATTTAAAAAGAAATATTTTTTTTAAAAAAAAAAATTCTACAGAAGGAAAAAAAAGCCACAATTCCATACACTCAGCAAGAATTCTATTTTTAAAAAACTCATTTACAAGAACTTGAAAAGATTTAATTTCTAGTATCATCAAAAAATGCCCTCAATAATTAGAAAACTATTTCCTTTGGAGGCAATCGAATACAACATATAATTTAATTGCTGTCCATTACACGAGTGATAATGCAGCAGCAAAATTTCAAAATGCAGCTGCTTCATCTAAGCTTTATGATCATAAAGTCATGCACTTCGAGACGTAGATTTGTTTTTTTGCAAGATCTACATTTAGCATCTTAAAAGCCAATCTTTTGTCCAAAATATTTGCAACTTACATGCTCATTGAATTTTTTCTCTGTTACATAGTCTCATGCTTATGTTTAAACTAGAGTAAAACAGCATTTCTCCTAGCATTCCACCTACACGTGCACTTTGGAAGGCAGACGTCCTTTGAAAACTGAGCATGCCACACTAAGTTGTAACTGATGGCCAGTAATGGAGGAACAAAACCCAATTATAATCATCCTGAGTGCTGATCCAGGGAGTGAGCTGCAACAGGGAATGTATGTGACTCTGTAATGATTTTTGGTACATGGTGAGGTGTTGAGAAAGGCTTTCAAGTGTCACTGGTATGCTCTTGCTCATGTAAACAAAAGTCAACCTAGGTAAGATTCTTTTTATGCTCCAGAGCACCGTGGGATCATATCTATGCACACACAATATTCTGAACCCAAATATATACAGTCCAATTTCAGCCCTGGCTGAGACGACCTTACACTGAGGATAACACTATCTGTTGGTACACAGGATCAAAAAACCAAAAATACTGTGAGATGAAAATAAGGATGGAGAGCTGATTAGGTCCTTGTGGTTCTTAGCCATGTCAGCTACCAAGATGCACTAACAATATTTTTGAACCATTAATATGCAATTGCTTAGCTCACTTATCTTTCAATAGGGCATCATCACTTCTATGTTGTGCATAGTAAGT